TCTTTAAATGAAAACATAGCATGCATCTTTAAACTTAATCCCGCTTCTGCAGTTCATATCATTTACTTCTGAATACAAGCTAAGTCTACTCAGCAGGGAACACTAATTAGGACTGTTCCATTTCAGCCATGGGTGTTGTCTTAATTAATCCCCTTCATTAGTGTCTAAGTTGTGGCGGTCTAAGTTTTGGGAGATAATCAATAGCGCCAGGGACTTAGCAGAAGTGTATCGCTACGACATTACAAAACTTTAGGGAACCTACTTCCTTAATGCCTCGAATTCAAGGATGGTGTTGATTTCATAAAATGTGAATTTTTAGTGTTTTTTCTTCTGTGTTGATCTAACATCGACGCCCACGTCTTCGACCATTGAAACAAAACATTCCTGAAAGTTTCCCGCAACGCTGCCTCTTAAATATGTAACTATATACTACGCATTGTTGCATACTGTTACTAGTATAGTACCAATGAAGATCCGGGCTAGAATTGATCTTCAGTAACCCATGCTTGTCGTAAGATGAGACCAACGGGATCGGGTGGTCAGGCTCGCTGACTTTGTTGACACATGTCATCGTATTCCAATGCTCATGCTGTTGATCACTGGATTGTCTGGTCCAGACTCGATTATTTACAGACCGCCGCCATATAGCTGGAATATTGCTGAGTGTGGCGTTAAACAACAAACAAAATATTCGCAAACCTGGGTATAGTTTCGTGTCAAACACATCTCACGCTGTGTGAGTTCAAATCGTTATTGCTTACTTAAAACCTTACTGAACCTTCGGTTGGTTCATCTTTGTCCAGGAAGGGCGGTGGGGTAGCCTAGTGGTTAAAGCGTTCGCTTGCCACGCCAAAGACCCAGGTTCGATTCCCAACATGGGCACACTGTGTGAAGCCAATTTCTGGTGTCCCCCGCCGTGATATTACTGGAATATTGCTAAAAGCGGTGTAAAACTACAATCACTGACTTTGTCTAAGCGTCTAATACAATAAGTCTTTCTGTTATTATATTTTCCAACTTCTTCTAATGAACGCTTTCTCAAAAGCTGTCCCCGATATTTTTTAAATAAATTACAAACCCTCTCACGGTGACTGAGCTAGTTTTCTGCACGCATTGGCTCGCTCCCTGCCATGGGGTGATTTAATGGTGTCACATGTCTATGTCGTTATCGGGAAGACTACGACAAAATGAACTCAGGTCGCAATATGTTGACTGGCATGTTCCGTGTCAACATGACACGGCAAACGGTGCAATCAGAAATAGATCCCTCTGTACATTTTACACCAGGGAGTACGAAAGAATTGATTCAGGTTGCAATATGGGTACTGTCGTAACTGTCGTAAACCCTATAACAGTTACCTACTACTTGTGGCCGTTCCCGTTGTCAGGGGGAGATTGAAGCTCTGGCGCTCCACTCGCTTGGTCCGTTGCAGGATGCTCAGTCCCGGAGTGAAAGGTCGGGCGACCTGGACTCCTAACTAACCACATTGCATTCATGTACTGGCACACATACAACCATAGATAAGCGCAACACCACCCACATAGTTTTTTACTCTGTGTCAGTCCATCTCTTAATACAACTTCATCAACAAATAGGGTTGGCCCGTACCACAAGGGGCAACTGAGTGGCGTGGACTGGCTTCCGTCACTTAAAAGCTCGCACCACTCGTTCAGTGTCAAACCTGTCTTTTTATATGGTTCGAGCCTGGCCTGATCTTTATCACATGTTTCAACTTGGGTTTTTTAATCGTTAATTCTGTATCCGTTCTAGCACCGATGAATATTATGATTGGAAAATTATCGGTTGGTTTTATGGTTTTAGGGCGACGTGGGCCAATAAGAGGCCTATTTGCGCCCAGAAATTATCGGTAAGTACCGTTCGGTTACTCTCCATTCTCTTTAGACTTTCTGTCTCCAAACAGTGTCTAACCGTTATCACTCATGAGCCAAACTAAAATCTATATACGGAATCTGATGTAATTCTCTTACTGATTTAGGGATGCATTTTACCTTATGACAGTACCCATAATTGTAGACTGGCATGTTCCGTGCTAACATGACCCAACAAACGGTGCAATTTGAACAAATAAACCTGTACAATTTACACCCGGGAGTACGAAGAAATAATATCATGTCGCAATATGGTTACCTATGCATGTAATATTGGCATGTTCTGTGTCAACATGACCCGACAAACGGTGCAATCTGAAAAAAAACACTGTACAATTTACATCCGGGACTTAATTCCCATTTGGTCATTCATGTTTCAGTGATGCCAATTCCAGGACGCAGTGAACCTTATCAAGTCTTGACACTCTCCTGTATACAAGATAGTCTGTCTCACATCCCAGAACCACATTTATTTCCCTTCCGCCCATCCTTTTCTGCAAAGCATAAGCCCTAAATGAACCAAGTATAGATTCCTAGAATATTCAAACTCACTTTTCAAATGAAAAAGATTAATCAAACCCACTCAAATTTAATATATTCGATAAAAACTTTGGTACACGTTTCTGCCAAATTATCCACTCACGCCTCAGACTTGGGTGCAGTAATTTGAAAGCGCACATGTTTGAACGGCACATTTCAGTTGATCCATTCTGTTCCTGTGGTCACCCCTATGAGGATACTTTACATTACTTCTTTACTTGTCCTAATTATTCTAACATCAGACATCGCATGTATTTTTACGAACATGGATATAATTTAAATTCTGTCCTAAATGGTAATCCAAACAAAAATGTACTTGTAAATTCTTTCATACTACAGTCTGTCCATACTTTTATAATAAAATCGCATAGGTTTGATAAATGATTAATAATGTTTAATACGCAGGTTGCTTGCTTTCCTATCATGCTGCATATTATTTAATATTTGTTTTATGCATGTATCAATGAAATGGAGAGGTATTCAAATAAGCCATTACGGCTTGTTTATCAATCCTAGTTCAATTTATTCTGAATAAAATATGTTTACACTAAAAGATTTGTTCTACCAAAATTATATAAGCGTTAGCTTAGTATAAAAACATGAACACCTTTTATTACAATTAGATTGCCCTGACATTATATTGATACTGATAGCGTATAGAATGTAGCGTGTGGCATCCGCCATGCTCTTGCAGTGAGTGAGTGAGTTTAGGTTTACACCGCACTCAGCAATATTCCAGCTATATGGCGGCGGTCTGTAAATAATCGAGTCTGGACCAGACAATCCTGGGAACAACAGCATGAAAATCGATCTACGGAATTGGGAACCGATGACATGTATCGACCAAGTCAGCGAGCCTGACAACCCGATCCCGTTAGTCGCCTTTTAAATACTGAAGATCAATTCTAACCCGGATCTTCACGGGTCAGTGCTCTTGTATGTTCGTATTCAGCCACATAGGAAAGTACCAATCTTGTATGGAACCAGGCATTAGAGGCTTTCTATCCAGTTTGTTTTTTCCAACGTGGTAATACTCTTACCGAGGAGTAAAAATATGTACATGTACATATATCCTGCATGCATGTGTTATGTAGAAAACAGAGCTGCAGATCGGCATAAATTATTGCTCCTGGAATATATGGTAAAACTGAGACCCAGTACGTGACCCAAAGGACAAAATGAAATCCATGAAAGTCCTTTCATATGTTAAAACAGATATGTGATTCAGGGATGAAAACGAATTAAGACAGAATAGGACATAACAACGAGAAAAAAATACAGATAAAGGATTTTATTGTTCTTCTTTCACTAAGGTGCCCCATCCGGCGAGGTATCGAGAGGCGGCACCATGTGAATATAGAGGAAACAAATATTTATCTGGGTTTTTTTTCACTCTTTATACCGTTTTGGAGTAAAATTCATTAACACGAGATGGTATGGTGTGGTTTTAGGGTGATTTTGGCCAATACAAACCTAACTGCGTCCCAATACGCAAGTTGTCTTTAAACAAGAGCAAAATGAGTAATGAAAATAAGATGGCTGACCAACAGTTTCCCGAGATAAGGAGACATGGGTTATGCCCCTTTAGCAGTAATCCCTCTGTGGTAAGTTTGTGTAATATGGGGACATGAGAAGACTGACATGATAGAAGGAGTACATCTAAAATTTCTTAAATTAGCTACTGGTTTAAAATATAACACCCCTAATTTCACGGTGTACTGGGAACTTTTTAGGGAACCTATTCAGCTTCAAATTTCGAAACGACTAATTTCGTACTGGTGTAAATTGACATTATCACATCCAAATAACAAAATAGCAGCTTTTTTATTCTTCAATATATTACTAAACAAAACAAAATATCAAATAACTATGTATGGCTAAAATATTAAACATATTCTCTGTAAGTGCGGATTGTCTGATGTTTTTGATAACCCTCATCTATACTCAAATTCATGGATCATTTCAAATGTTGAATCTATTTTAAAAGGCCATTTTTTACAATCATGGACGAGCGATATGCAAAATTCCTCTAAAGGAATATATTATAAAGTTCTGAAGCCCTCTCCAAAATTTGAACAATACCTACTTCTCTCAGATGATATTTCTAAACCGATCCTAAAACTTAGAACATGCAACCATAAACTTCCCATAGAAACTGGGAGATGGCAAAATTCCCCAAAAGGACAAAGATTTTGTAACTTATGTGACTCACATTTGATTGGAGATGAGTTTCACTATTTGTTTAAATGTAATTATTTTGCAGACATACGTTACTTTATACCTGGAAGTACGACATTTGTGATGTTTAAAACAACAAACCAGTGGAGCATGTAAAGGATTTTCAAGTCCACTGCCTCCAGAGAACAATGGAGGTTCTATGTTATTTCAACCACATGGGTCATACAAAAATGTTAACTGGTATGTTAATAGATGGAATACATCCACAAACCATTCCCAAGGTAAAAACAAAATACATAGCATAGTTTCGTTCTTACTTTTATTTCATAAGTCATATGTATACAATAAAGTTCAATAAATATACACAAATATCACAAAATGATATTGTCAACACTGTCATGTACAAGTATCAGGTATCACTATTTTATTTTATTAGTTCATTTACATTAATATTACATACATAAATTAAATAATAATATACACAAAGCATGATTAACATTGCATTCAGTACTTAGCACTAGGTCTACTGCATCACACTTCAAAGTCACACACTAAATGTCAGTTCACTGTAACTTCATTAGATGCGACACGGCATCAGCGTAAACCATGACACTCATGGCACCATCTCGGAGTTCTTGCTTCAGAGTCTCTAGTCTTGAGTTGACATGGATGTACTTCCTCCTTTTTGGTGGCGGTTTCCTCCCAGCAGCGTACTGAACAAGCTTGATTTCGTTCAGTTTCTGCTCTTTCCTGAGGAAAGACAACATCTCGAAGACATTGGGGTGAGCCTTAGAAATAATTTTCTTAAGGCGACCATGCCAACCTTCCAGGTGGTTATTGGTTCTTGGACCGGTGTTCTGGTAGTGGTTCCACGCTGTCTGGGGTATATGTCCTTCCACCCACTGGGTGGTCACGTAGTCGGCGAGACGGAGGCAGCGAGGGTCGTCAGGCATGTCTGCAAGTGCGTTCAGCCACACGTCGTCTACCTGGAAGCACAAGATTATTTTATGAATACATAATTTGTGATTATTGATCATCAGCCGCGAAGTACACAAAATGAATGACATAGTTTAAGCATAGTAATATATGATTTATAATAATAAAATCCGATTCCAATTCAGGCGCAATGCAATGCAATACTTACATCTGTCACGGGCACCAAAGGCAGTACAGCAGCACGCCTTACGAAGCGGGTGATGATCTTCGTCGTGGTTGTAGTCGCCCTGAAGGCCAACCCCTTGTGTCTTCTTCCACACACACTGTGTGTAGTGGAATAGACACCCCCTCCACAGCGTCGTCGGGAAGTTGACGGAGACGGCATTCTTCGCTGCAGATTCGAAGTCCATCTGGAATGATTAAAATGTGGAAATAATGAATACGTTTACCATGTTTTACAAATAATGATAAGTTAATTGAATAAATTATTATATAATTAATAATAATGAATAACTACATGAATACTGACTATCATTTATTAAGAGTTATGTAAATCAATTTACCTGGATGTGTTGAGGTGACATCTGAAGTCCTCTTGCTTCCACTGCTTCCTTCAGGAGACGGAAGGCGCGGTCGTAAGTAACAGTCGCCTTGTCTGGCAGCAAGAAGAAGACCAGCGGAAACATCTGACCACCAACCATAGCATGGAGAGTGTACAGCTGCAGGAAGAGTGATGGTGAGACATAAAAGGTTCCGTCACCATACACAACTTCGGCAGCACAAAGATGTTGCATGTTCACCGTTGTCGTCATGCCAAGGATCTTATCGTCGTCTTCGATTCAATTGAAACACAAAGCCTTCAACAACTGGGATCACGATTTCGTCGGGAAGATGGGACGTGGGAAGTCGGGGGAGAAACTTATAGTCATTTCTACTGACCTGTTCTCTTTCAAGGCCATCGCTCACTTTTGTACAGCGTGATAGATTCTTGGTGGAATTACCATGATATATACCCAGTGTGAGTTTATATCAATCAATCTAAATTTTCTTAAATAATATAGTTAATTTGTGAGTTGATATCAATCAAATAATCATAATTGTGTTATTTGTCATTTAACTAGTGAGTTCATATCAGCAACTATGTTCATAGTTAGAACTAGTGAGTTCATATCACTAATTAGTGAACTCCGAGTTCACTCACCAGTTCAAGTTTTAGTGTCACCCATCTCATTAATCCTTTAAAACAACATGTATCTACCTCGGCCGAACATCAAAGGATTTTTACTGTAATAACAAATGTATCCAGGTATGACACCCATCATATATGTACCCCGCAAATAATTCCATAACATTCTCAATATGGGATCCACAGTTTTGACCACTGTAATAACAAATGTCTTGTAATCATTTGAGCATAACCACAGTGTCTTGTAATCATTTGAGCATAACATGTTTCACAGTGTCTTGTAATCATTTGAGCATAACTTTATGTTTCACAGTGTCTTGTTATCATTTGAGCATTATTTTTTATGTTTCACAGTGTCTTGTAATCATTTGAGCATAACTTTATGTTTCACAGTGTCTTGTAATCATTTGAGCATTATTTTTTATGTTTCACAGTGTCTTGTAATTATTTGAGCATAACTTTATGTTTCACAGTGTCTTGTAATCATTTGAGCATTATTTTTTATGTTTCACAGTGTCTTGTAATCATCTGAGCATAACTTTATGTTTCACAGTGTCTTGTAATCATTTGAGCATAACTTTATGTTTCACAGTGTCTTGTAATCATTTGAGCATTACTTTATGTTTTACAGTCACTGTGGCTGGTAATCGTTTCCACCTTACTATATATTTCACATTTTCTTGTAATCGTGTGAGTACATGTATATCTTTATGTTTCACGATGTCTTGTAATCTTGCGCATAACCTGATGTTTCACAGTGTTTTGTAATCATTTGAGCGTTACGTTACGTTTCATGGTGCCTTTTAATCATTTGATCATTACTGTAGATTTCACGGTGTCTTGTAATCATTTGAGCATACGTTATGTTTCATAGTGCCTTCTAATCATTTGATCATTACAGTAGAATTCACGCTGTCTTGCAATCGTTTGAGCATTGGTTTATGTATACAACCAACAATCAAACAGCATGTACTATTATGACATTTTTCATGCAGTAAGAGTGTGTTGTATGGATAAACAAATATTGTAACTAGACACATCTTTGAATGTGCATGAATTTGTCATCATGTTGAAAACGGCTGCACTAAATATTGAAAAACACATATTAAATTATTTCCTGGATGACTGTACACGTAAAACAAATAATTAAAAGGTCTTACATCATCCAGCTACACCTACCAGATATCTAACCGCACACTACAAAAGGGATCGGCCGAACAACTGATTCTGATTCGTTCTATTCAGAACATTAAGATTATGGGTCGATGACTCTGGAAACATCGTGACGAGAGGCTGACATATATTTCGGGATTTCCTCGGGAATGAGTTGTTGGTTTTGTATATCAATACTCGTTGAATGTTTACATGCTTGGCTGGTACAGACAGAACACAAAATAAATTATACGCTAATCGTTTTTCCAAGTGGAAGGGAGACACATGAAAGCCAGGTATTCATTCATTTAACACCCGGACCTCGTTGAGCAAAGCGATCAACAATATACGTGAGTGAGATAAATCGCCTTGTGAAAGGGGCCCAGGATGCCAGGTCCTCGGCTGGATAATTATTAGAAAACTAGAAATAACTTTAGAAACCGGGCGTGTTTTGAACCGAATACTTAGAGAATGTCTATTCGTCACGTATATATAAAGAAAGTGGTGAGGGTTGCCAAGTGTACAATAGTACATATATAAGAAGAAATTTCTGAAATAACTACACGAAACCACAATAGCGGATCTTCTCAACATGTTTCACTTTTATGTTCAGGGAGAAGTGATTACAGTTAAACAGATTATATTATGACGACACTTTATCATGACGTTCCTGAAATGCAGCTGTATACATTGTACATTGTATACAGTTGCATTGTGACGTCATGATAATATAATCTGTTTAACTGTATATCACTTCTCCCTGAAGATAAAAGTGAAACATGTTGGAGAAGATCCTTATCGTGTAATTATTTCAGAGATTTCTACACAGAGAGAGAGAGAGAGAGAGAGAGAGAGAGAGAGAGATAGAGAGAGAGAGAGAGAGAGAGAGAGAGAGAGAGAGAGAGAGAGAGAGAGAGAGAGAGAGAGAGAGAGAGAGAGAGAGAGAGAGGCGAATGATCCAGTGCATGTAGTTCGAGGGCGGGACACAGCAACAAGATAAATACGATAGGTATATTTAGGTACATGTGTAGTCTAGATGTAATATTAGTTAAGTAACAGAGGAGATGAGGCAGGCCAAGGAATGCTTCTCGAAGCAATGATGTAAGCAGATGTATCAGCTTATCACAATGTAAGGCATCTTGACATGGAGATCAGAGATACGTCCCTTAACCTTGCACGGAGTTTGTTCTCGTGGGAATATGACATTAAGTCATCATCAGCAGGTCAAACTGACCATATCGTCTGTAGACATCAGTATATGTTACCTGTAGACATAATGGATAATGCAATTCCGAAATGTCTTATCACGTATATTGTCCGTTTGGCTAAAAAACGGACCTATGAATTGCAATCTAACTCGAAAACTACTAAGCATATACATGTAATACTCAATGAAACACTGATCATAATCAAAACATCAGACCAACTCTGTGACTTTTTTTTTGCAGAATTTATGTCCTAAAAATATATAAAAAAGTTGTTTAACAAACTATCATTAACATTTTGACAAAGTTCACTATTTGTTACGAGAGAGAACAGCCAGGTGTGCGGAGCACGTGCACAAGTGCCAACAAAGTTATTGAATCATTTAGTGTGCTGTGCTGTCTCCATCCTTTCTCGTACAGCTGGCTGTTCCTCTCTTTGCACCCCTCCCTCGAAACTGTGTCAAAATTATAACGATAGTTTGCTAAACAACTTATATATTTTTAGGACATAAATTCTGCACACAAAAAATTACAAGAGTTGGTCTGATGTTTTGATTATGATCAGTGTTTCATTGAGTATTTTATGTTAAAGGTCACATGCAACCAAAAAATCAAACATAATTAAAACACAATTATCACTTATTCATGACATATAATATACATTGCTGGTTATGAAAAAACATATAAACAAAATTATAAGCGTACAATCGCAAATCAAAAGAGCAATATTGTGTACTTGAGTTTACTTGCCAAGAAACAGAAGCAGCCGGGATACCGAACCCAGTCAGAGCGGGTGGGTGTGCACTCAAGCGTAACGGCTGGTTCA